TATTACTAAATTTCAATTTTGTACCCTTTTTGGAGATCATTAGGATACTTCAAGTGTCTAATAAAATTCCAGAATTTTATGTGATTTGCAATCATGCGATTTACAAATTTCTACTATTCTATATTCGTTAAGTTAATTTCTAATTGATTTCCAGATTTGGTAAATCAGTTTCTGATTACTTTCTAATTTTGTTTCATCATTATTCATTAAAGATTATAGTTCTTTTGTTGCTTTTCTTCTTTTTTTTTTTTATAAAAAAAATTCAACTTCTCAACATCAACAACAACAACTTCAACAATAACAATTATAATAAAATGCCTTGTTACAGTCTTCCTGGAAATGTTCGTTGTGCTCGCCGTAATAGCAATAATGCTCTATATGAGACCTTAGAGGTGGTCCAAAATAAAAATGGACGGTAAATATTTAATGCAAAATTTCTTTTTTTCTTCTTTTTCTTTATTTTTTTTTTGTATAAAGCTAATAAAATTTTTTATAGCTTAATGCGGTTGGTGGCCTCTCAAAGAAGAAGAATTTAGAGTTTGAAGACAGAATTAGAAGAGTTGAGGGCAAATGCGGTCACAAGGGTGCAAGATGGGTGGATGTTAAAGCAATGGTATGCTCAATTATTGGAAGAAAGAAATAGGTTAAGAGCAAGATTAGCAAATGATGAGGAGGAATTAAGAAGGTTAAGGGCGGGGGAAAGAAGAAAGGAAGAAAATAATAATAATAGGAATAGAATATCAGGTTTTGGTTTTTAAATTTGTAATGTATATAATCTTTTTTTTTTGTTATTTTTGTAATAAAATATAAGTATATATATATCAAAATAATTAGTAATAATAATAAGTAGTATTGACTACTCTCTACCAAACTACGTTACAAAGATAATATTCGGAATAATTGTCAAATTCTAACAAATATTCTGAAGAAGGGTTTTCAAAGAGAATATCTACCAAGGTTGAATAGTTAATGTTAGTTCCGCATTAGGCTCATTAGAGTTATCAAATTCTATACTGCTAAATATATCTATTTCTTCATTAGAATCATAATCACTTAGTAAATACTGGTCACTACTTTCTGGTTCTCTAAAGAAGTTCTCTATTGGAGTATCATCGATAA